TCTTTCCATTTTAAACCAACACATAAGAGGCTGCCTCTAGGCAGCAGGAGAGGCCCAGGGAAGAAGGGCTTTAGATGTTTCCATTGTAACCAACCCCTCTGTTTTCACAGCCAAGGGTAGGAGCCCTCTGATCTTTTAAAACATAAAAGCAGTGTATGTTCACTGACAGCATACAAAAAAACTAAACAGAATCAAAATCTTCAAGATACACAACTTTGTATCTGTTTTGTTCAGGTATCATAAGCAATTCTAAGTTATTAAGTAGGTTTCACAAGGGTTAGTTCCAAGGGCAGTCTGCAATATAGATGCATCATAATCGACTCATTTCCCCGTTGCCAGGCATTTTTGTTACATCCAATTGTTCGATCTTACAAACAATCCTGCCATAAACGTTTACGTGCATAAATCTTTGCCTATATTTCCAATTATATCCTTAGGACAAAGATTTACAGACGTCACAGTGTAGAAATACCTTAAAATTTTCATTTCTGTCTAATAGTATTAACAATCTGAGTGGATCTGATAATTTTATGATATACAAAATGTAATTTTCCCCCAAGAGATAGTCATCCAAGAGTCTGCTATATGTCTTTTAAGATGGTGTTAAACCAATCCAAACCAAACCCAGTGCTGTCAAGTTGATGCTGACACAAGACGATCCTATAGGACCGAGCAGAACCGCTCCCTAGGGTTTCCGAAGAGCAGCTGGTGGATTCCAACTGCCAACCTTCTGGTTAGCCGGCGAGCTCGTAACCACTGTGCTGCCAGGACTCCAAAAATGCATATATGCACACAATTTTGCCCAACCAAGCTAGAAAATTTTGCAAGTTGCTCCCCCCCACCGCCCCGGCATATATTTTGGTTATCTTTTCACATCAATGCACACATTTTCTATGATTTCTACCTGGGTGCTTTCATCGTGTGGATTTAACACAACCACTCTAACCCCCTCCTATAAATATACACCACTCAAAAACAATGCAATACAGATCCCAAGTCTTCTCATACTTAGGCAATTATACCTATAAGACGATTTCTTAAAAATTCTTTAAAGGTGACTCAAAAGTCTGAAAATTTTGTAAATTTATTTAAAAAAAGAGCTGATGAGAACTTGAAGTCATAATAAAACATCTACTAAAAGTGTCAATTATGCTATGAGTTCAGCAGCTAAATAAGAAATAATGTAATAAATTTTAACTCTAGTGTCTTCTTCTGTACAGACAGAATCTTTCTTTAAACTAATTCATCATGAATTAATAAATAAACCAAAAACTTGAGGTTTAGAAAAGAACTTTTCTAAGAGAACAAATAAAAGAAACAGAAGTAATTAGCAGTACCATCTAATATGCAAAATTTTCATGTTGATCCAGCTACAATAATCTGCTCTAAAAAATACTCTTTGTACAATAAACTTTGGTTTAAACCATAATTCAAATTGTATTTAATATACTTGATTAAAAATGTTTCAGTACTAAAACAAAATGAGCATCATACTCTGGAATCAGCAGCTTCCACCCTACATCCTGGATGAGAAGAGCCCAAGTGCCCGCTGACTTGCACCCCACTCAGTGATGTCACAAGAGCTGCTTCCACTCATCCTGACAGAGAACATCCAAACTTGGACAGCTTTCAGGGACTCTGCAGATACTCATCTGGCCTACCTCACTGAGTTACTAGAGCAGCCAAGAGACTCTACCAAAACACTTGCTGAGCTATGCAAATGTAAATTACGAAGGTGTCCAATTTAACTTCAAAACTCTTTAAAAAATCGGAACAAATGGTGGATTAGCAAGTCTGTAACTTGTGAAAATGATACCTGTGTCCACCTCCCAGGAGTGACAGCCATACTACAGCCCTTCCAGAAACCAACCTGAATGCAGACACCTGAGACTGGACCTGACATGCCAGGACAGTCCATGCGGCGGGGCAGGGATGGGCCCAGGAGGCAGCGGCAGGTCCAGGCTGGTGACAGTGAGTCGGCCCACCACCCTGACAGCCGAAAGCTTCTGAGGCCTCCACTTACTGAACTTGCAACTTTGACAAGAAAAATCCGAACCAGCCTTTCTGATAAATCTGACAGCTAGGAGAACTAGAGACAACACTGTACAAAAAACATGGGACAGAACAGTGACTCTAGGGCTTCCTCTTTACAACAGGGACCTCCTGAGAGAGGAGTGGGATTACGGTCACAAGGGAGAAGAGAGGCGAGCACTGCAATTTCTAACAGTGAACAATATTACCCTGCTAAAAAATTTTAAAGTTCATTCTTCCATCAAATTAACAAATATATTCTGTCCAACCTGAAATTTGAGAAAAGACTTTATTTTTCCTTCTACGTTTATTATGCATAACTAAGGAAATAAAAGGCTACTTTATCTTGGAGTTTTAAAATCGGATCACTTGCACTATAAAATAATCCGTATTTATCAAAACACTATTGATAGCTATGTAAAAAATTAAAAGGTAGGGCTAACTTTATGATATTATGGCATGCATCTCGATAAAGCCATTATAAAAAAAAAAGAGGTAAACTCTCCCTCCCTAACACTCAGAGGTAACCGGTTAAAGCACTGTTCCACTGTATGGTTGGACCACATCGGTTCCTTTATAAAAACAAAGTTGCAATAGGCATCTTTTTCCTCCATGTGCTCCTCTGAACACATCCCTAAGATGTCTTCTGGTGGCGCAATTCTGGAACAGGACACGCAATGAAACACTGCAGTGCCCTCACAAACCCCTCCCACAGACCTTGTGCCCGGGGACAAGGACGTGCCCATGCTGTCACAGCACTGGACATCAAACACATCAATACCAGCCATCTGTAAGGTTAGAAATGTAGTTTCAACTCTCCCTATTAACCTATTCCTTTTCTACCATACCAGATGAGCCGTCACTGAGTGAGTCTTTTCTGACTTATGGTGATCCCATGTGTTTCAAGGTAGAACTGTGCTCCAGAGTTTTCAATGGCTGATTTTTCGGATGTAGACTGCCAGGCACCTTTCTTCAGAGGCGCCTCTGGGCGGACTTTAACCCCTAACCTTTCAGTTAGCAGCTGAATGTGTTAACTATTTGCACCACACAAGGAAATACCTTTCCCAGCATTAATCAGGCCATTTTAAAAGTGCATTGATATTTTGGTTTAAGTAAAAATGTTAACATCTGTGATCCAAAAAGCTACATTACCAAAACTGAGATTTCAACCTCTATACCTACACATTTCTGAAACCTGATGTCCTAATGTAATGGCCCCTTTACACACACATTTTCAGCTTACTGAAGAATTAAAACTCACAATTTTAAACTCCCACCTTTAGTTAACTCAAAGATTCAACATTCAGTGTACAATGTGTTGTTAAACAAATGATTTGAAAAAGAATTATTAATTTTTACGACTTCTGGTTTAAATAAGATTTGCTCCAGCTACCATCATATCCTCTAAAATTTCCGTTGGGGAAAGAAACACCGCTCTTTGGTTTCTGAGTTTCTCTGGCTCCCTCACCCATGCTCAGTCCCAGCACTGAACTCTGCTCATAACTAGTGATGGAGGACTAGGGAAAAGACAGGACTAAAACGGAGTGACTCTAAATCATGCAGTTTCAACAGGCCAAGGTGAGAAAAATCTTAACTATTACGATGGCTCGTGGTCCTCCAAAGGATCACAGTACTTCAACTGACATGCAGTACATCTGTGATATTAAAATTTCACAGTGGGAGGAGCTGGTTGGGGGAAAAGATCTCTAAAAATGTTTCTTTGGGACGCAATGAAGAAAAAAAGGTTGAGAAATACTGCTCTAAATGGATCTACTAATACATGTAAAATATAACAACTACTGAATACTAAGCAAATATAAATTAAGACCACAATGAAATATTTCATTTATTTTTTCCTTCTATGTTTATTCTGCATAACTAAGAAAATAAAAGGCTATTTTATCTTGGTGTTATAAAATCAGATCATTTTCACTATAAAATAACCCATACTTATCAAAACACTACTGATAGGTATCTAAAAAATTAAAAGGTAGGGCTAACTTTATGATATTATGGTATGTGAATCATATCTCAATAAAGCTGTTATTAAAAAAAAAAAAAAAACCTCCCTAACACTCAGAGGTAACTGGTTAAACCTGATGTTTAACATCACTGGAAAAAAACCAAAACCTGTTGCTGTCGAGTCAATTCCAACCCACAGCGACCCTACAGGACAGAGGAGAACTGTCCCATAGGGCTTCCAAGGAGCAGCTGGTGGATGTGAACTACTGACCTTTTGGTAAGCAGCCGTATCACTTAACCACTGTGCTACCACTAAGTTGCAAAAATTAATCTGATAATACTAAGTGTCAACAAGGGTATGTACACACTTCTTTTGGAAATGTAAACTCAGTCACTTTAAAAACAATATAGGGAGAAAAAAAACACTACGGCACTACCTTGCAAGGGTGAACACTTGCATCCCTACAAGCCAGTAATTCCTCGCCCAGGAATCCGCCCTAAATAAACCCCAGTACATCTGCACCAAGAAAACATCCAAAAATATTCATAATACTGTACCTAACAGCAAAAAACTAGAATCAACCCAAATGTCCACAAATACAGAACCAACTGTTAGTGGAATATTCATGCAGCAGTAAAAACAAACCATATCCTAAAACGTGGTAGATCTTAGAAATGTAGTAGTGAATGAAAAAAATCAAGTTGTCGAAACTATGTTACAAAACCATTTTTATAAAGCTCTAAAACAAGCAAGAAAAAACACTGTTCAAGAAATCATATAATTACGTAATAAAATATTTTGAAAGGAACAACGGATATAAAATTTAGTGATGGGATGGTGGACACACACAGGTGGATACAAACGGCTATGTTTGAGCTCCTGACTAGAGGGGCAGATCACAAGTATCTACTGTGCTTCATAACTTACGTACGTCACATTATTCTTGTTAGTCTGACACATGGCTCTTCACAGTAGGGATGATGAATCAATGCAAAATAAAACTTACATCCAACTCAAAAAACAGGTCTCTTTCTTTACTTGCAATCTCATAATCTGCTCGGAGGGCCAAGTCGTGGATTTTGGTACATTCTCCTAAATCCATGCGCTGTGGAAAAGAGACAAAAAATTTACTCACCAACACCTACCCACCATAGAAAGCACATAACGTGACTTGGAATTTCATCTGTCACCAAAATAAATGACACTTTTTGAATTCTTAAAACTATGATAAGAAAATTGAGAAAGAGAATACATCTGAGCTGCTTTATTTCTGTTTTACACCATGATTATAAACTAACTTGAAACTGGTCCATTTAACAGTGTTAACAGGGCTTGTATTCCTTTTAGACCCAGAGATAACCACACTGTAACAATGAAAGACTCATTAACTGTTTTTGCCAATTTTATTTTTGTATCAGTCACATAAGAAAAGTCTAAGCATTCTCTAAATAGAGCAGGGGGTGGAGGCAGCAAAGACCAGAGAACAGAGTATCAGCGACATCAACGCGTTGCTAGGTATTCCTTCTTGCAATCTTGACTACTAAAGATGATCAGCGCCCAAGCTGCAGTGATAAGAAAAGGAAAGAGCAGACAGAGATCAGGGTTTGGCAATTATACCATACAAAGCTCGGCTTTGTGTGGTTCTTTGTATAAAGAAAGAAAGCAGAGCAGGGGGATTCAGAGCCACACTAACCCTCGGAACATACTCCCACCCTGGTCAAAAGCTCTGACATATCGTTGGACAACTCAGCTGTCTCATCTGAGATACAAAAGCCTCCTTTATTAAAACCAAATATACCTACTCCTCACTTAGCAACACAGTTAGGTTCCAAAGGCCAGGTCGTTACATGAAAACGGAGGACAACCACATCGGATCACAAAATAGTATGTGGGATACATATATCCCTCTGGACCCGAGAGGCAGAAAATGTAGGTAGGCACTATATGTCCCACTGGTCATGAAAGGGTTACTGCCAGATGTACCTCGTTAATGCGCGAAATAGCTGGAGAGTAGATTTTTCACTATTGTTGTGAATGTGAAATGTCAGATAACAAGACAGTCAGTAAGTGAGGAGAGTGTAATCTGCGTGGAGGCAACCAAAGCGTCCGTCAGCAGACGATAAACAACCTGTGGTCCGTCCAGACAATGGAGTGTCCCTCTGCGTAAAGAACAATGAATTCCATACAGCCTACAGCGTGGACGAACCCTGAACACATTATTCTAAGTGAGACTAGTGAGACAGAAAAGGACAAACAGTGTATGACTCCACGTACAGGAAATATCTCAAACAGGCAGGCACACAAAGACAAGAAGTTAATTAGTGGTTTCCAGGGGCTGAGTTGAATAGGAAATAGAGAATGATTGCTTATAAGGGCTGAGTTTGTTTTTTTTTGGTTGTTGCTGTTGGGTGCTGCCGAGTCAGTTCCGACTCACAGCAATCCTATGTACAACAGAACGAAACACTGCCCGTTCCCTGTGCCATCCTCACCATCATTATGTTTCTGCTTAGGGTGATGAAAAACATTTGGAAATGGATAATGGTAATGGCTGCACAATATGGTAAATATAATTAATGTCACTGAACTGTACATTTAAAAATGGTTAAAATAACAAATATTTTACCACAATAAAATCAAAACACACACACGAAATGATCTGTGTTGTCAATTAAGGTTAGTCTGGTGTACTAGTATCTGTTCTAACCACACGTGGACCAAATTGGGTATTTCTTATCTAAATCCTGAATACAAGACACTGTGCAGGCACCCCCACCTTTGGCTATCTAAAACAATAAGGAAGAAATCTGTATGCTGAGGATCATGGTATCAATCAGTAAATTTTAACAAAAGCCAGCATTCCAACCAGGAGAAATGCCCGAAGTCCAAGTCATCAGACAAAAGCATGTCTATATAACTACTAAACAAAGAAGGTTTGAGACCAGGAATTCCTTTAAGCTCAAATAATAATCACGTTCAAAACCTATTTTAAACACTTTATGGTAAGAAAATCCTTAACATTCTAGTCAAATCAGACTCATGGTGTCCGACTTGTGGGCCCCAGTCTCACAGAGAGCCCATTCCAGGCTCATTAACAAAACATCTCTCAGCACCACTGGGCAGATGGCTTGTCTTCCTAGGACAGGGATCATTTTCACCTTACCAAAGACCTACTTTTACATTTAGGCTAAAATCTCTTTTCCTGTTTCATTACTCTGAAGTAAAGTCAGATTAAGTGTAGCTCCTGTATGTTGGTTACAGAGGGCATCTAGACAGAGGCCAACAGTGGTTCTGCCAAAGTCCAAGCCATAACTGTCATCCCTGTAAACCTGATGTTTGCTTCAATTTTCTAATTACTAAGTACTGTGCTTTATAATGGAGCCCTGGTGGCACAGTGGTTAAGTGCTATAGCTGCTAACTAAAAGGTCAGCAGTTTGAATCCACCAG